TTTAAATTTCTTTTGTATTTTTATAATGTTTTTAAAAAATTAAAAATTTTGCGTTTGAAATTTAAAAAAACTAACATTTACTCCATCTGTCTCAAATAAAATATTTTAACATTTTGTTTTCTAGAATACTGTTTTTAGTAAGTTACAAAATTAAAAATACAAAAAATAAAAATATGGAAAAAAGAAATGAAAAAAATTAAAACATCTAAAAAAGAGTCTTATACACAAAGAAATCTTCAGAACGCCTAAAAAAGTCTTTAGAATTTGGATGCCCAACAATGATATTCATTTTTATTTTTTTGTTCTATTTTATTTCTTATTTATTTCCCATTTTTTGAAGTTCTCAAAACAAGTATTTTATTTTTTATTTTTTAAAAAAATAAAAATTGTTAATTTGAGATGTACAAATGTTGTATATGTTACTTTTATTTTCAATTAAAAATAATTTTAAAGTTTAAGAACATTATAAAAACATTTTAAAAAGAAATTTTAAAAAACTTTTTTTTAATAAAAGAAACAAAAAAAGAAAAAATAAAAAATAAAGAAAAAATAAGAAATGATGAGCCCCAACACCCCATATGGTTTGGAAAATAGGCACCGATGTTTCCTTCTTTTGCGAGGAAAATAGCTGGAAAAATGATCAGAGGGGGTATGAGTGTAACATTTTTAAACTACGGAGACTTTAGAAATAAGTTTTGAAAACCGAGATGTATTTGTGCCTATTTTCTAAATAACGGTGGGTACTCGTATTATTTAGCCCTTTTCTAGCCCCAAAACTTAGCTGGTAAGCAATTAAGATGAACTTTTATGGTCTTTTAGTAATTACTCCCTCCGTCCCAAAAAGATTTTCCTGTTTCTTTTTTTGCGCATCCTATAAAATACGTCTATAAACATCTAAAATGCCTAAAATTTACCACATTTCTCATTTATTGTGGATAGAATTTGTTTTGAAAGTCTTTTTGCATTTGAGGCGGGATAGAAGTATTTTATGAGATGCGCAAAAAATGAAACATGAAGACCTTTTTGGGACGGAGGACCGAGGGAGTATATGATAAAATATTACTCGCACCGTCTTTGAGTATTTGTTCTCTTTTGACGGTTTATGATCAAAATTGATAAATTTTAACTATAAAATAAATAAAAATGATATTACATATAGAAGGAAAACATAATTTGGGGAAAAAATTTCTGAGTGGATTTTTCACAAAATTTAAAGAAATTTGGAAAAAGTGAAAGTTTAACAAATTACTTTTAATAAAAAAGGATCAAGTAGGGGGGTTGAGGTGTTCTAAATAAATAAATAAAATGAGACTAATTGAGTATTTCTGGTGTTAAAAAAGGAAAATAAGGAATAATGGAAAGATGTTATAGCATCTCCAACCATATCATTTTAACTTGCTAAAAGTTACGCTGTTACGGAGTATAATATAACTAGTGACTTTTGTTCTTCTCCAAAGGACATGCTTTATTTTAATAAGTTTGTCAAAAAATGACTTTGGCTTGCTAAATATAACAAGTCACTCAAAATTTAGCTAGCCAATACTTAAAAAATAAAATAACAAATTATGGTTGGAGAATGAAGCAAAAAAGCGCTTGTTATTTCACTATTCACTTGCTATAATGTAAGAATAGCAAATCCATATAACAAGCATGGTTGGAGGCATAGTTTTAAAAAACAGGCCGAACCAGCCAGTTCAGACTGAAAACCGGTGAACCGGCGCCCAAACCGGTCCGGTCCGATTTTTTTTTTTTGCGACGCTGTTACAGAGTATAATATAACTAGTGACTTTTGTTCTTCTCCAAAGGACATGCTTTATTTTAATAAGTTTGTCAAAAAATGACTTTGGCTTGCTAAATATAACAAGTCACTCAAAATTTAGCTAGCCAATACTTAAAAAATAAAATAACAAATTATGGTTGGAGAATGAAGCAAAAAAGTGCTTGTTATTTCACTATTCACTTGCTATAATGTAAGAATAGCAAATCCATATAACAAGCATGGCTGGAGGCATAGTTTCAAAAAACAGGCCGAACCAGCCGGTTCGAACTGAAAACCAGTGAACCGGCACCCAAACCGGTCCGGTCAGATTTTTTTTTTTTTGCGAAAAATCGTCCTAAATGTTAGCCTGTAGGGAATAGAACACAAGACCTCTTGATCTCCATGTTCAACTTGCGACCACCTTAGCTAAAGGATGTTTGTATCATAACTTGCAAACCTGGGAAAATATAATATATTTTCTGAGTAAAAAAATTTCTAAAAAGATTTCTTTTCATAAAACGTTAAAAAATATACTTCTTCCATCCCGGAGTACTTTTGACTTTTTTTGGTTAAAATTGTTAAACTTTGACTTCAAGTCCGTTTTCTAAAACACTTCCTCTTTCATTTTTTTTTACTTCCAACAAAACACTTCCTCTTTCTATTAAAAAATCACTTTTACCCTTACTTTTTCATACCCTACCTATCACATCATACTTTTTCTCTAATAATCAATCCATCACATCTTACTTTTACCCATCACATCAGGGGCAAAATTGGAAGTCAACTATAATTTTACACTTCCTTATTTTGGCTCCAAGTCAAAGTAGGAACCTTTTTTTGCAAACGGAGGGAGTATAAAATATGATATTAGCTATTGATACAAAAAGAGTTTTCTTAGATTTATTATATGAAATATTTTCAAAATATTATTTTATTTCATTAAAATACAATGTATATTTTATTTAATTATAGGTCAAAGGTTAAAACAGTTAAGTGAAAAAAGTCAAAATTAAACAAATACTCAGTGACGAAGGTAGTAATATTGTAACTATGATTTAAACTTTTAACTACTCCGTATTCTAAAAATACACAGTACATATCAATGAAATATTTAATTTAGATATGTTTTTAAAATATTGGACAAATTATTGAAAAAATTATATATATATATATATAAATATATATATATATATATATATATATATATATATATATATATATATATATATATATATATATTGACTCAGTCTACTGGAAAATGCTTTATGAGGTCAATAGTATGGCAGATAACCACTTGAGCATTGACACCTAGGGCAGAATTCTATGGCATAATGGAGAGGTTGGTTTCAGCTTAAAAAAGGCAAAGAATTCTTTGAGAGAGAAACAACTCATTCACCCCTTCACCAAACTTTCCTAGAACTCCAAACAAAGCCCTAAACACTCTATCTTCCTTTGGAAATTGTGCTTTGGCTACCTCCCCCTTCCCCACTCACTAACTAGATTGGGATTTCAACTCCCCTCTGTTTATTTCTTGTGCAGGAACAGTGAGGAGCCTACCACCCACCTATTCAGGAACTGCCCTTTTAGCAACCAAATCTGGAACTACTTTGAACAAATATTTTCAATTTGCAGGAATACCAGCCATGGAATCCTAACCTACTTGACAAATTGGTGGAAACAAGGTGCACTGAAAAAGCACAACAAAACACTCCTCAATATCATTCTAGGAATCATAACCCATGAGATATGGAAAGAAAGAAACAGGAGGATCTACGAGAAAGAAGAACACACCTTGACACAGACAATTACAATCATCACAAAACAGATCTACGAATGGATTTTCATCCACCATAAAGGAAAAACAACGCCGGATATCAGAATTTATGACAGTTTACCTTCAATTAGAATGGGCGCAATCACTGTACATCGATGGGTATTCCCAGCCACTAGAGTAACACTTACAACAGACGCGGCAATCAGGGAGAGAAGATCAGCTAGAGCCAGCATCCTGCGCACAAGGCACGACCAATTTCTCATTGCTTGGACCTATCCTCTACAACCAAACCTCCCACCAGCTGAGACAGAAATGGAGGCAGCATACGAAGGAGTACGTAGCAGCTTGTTTCTTAACTGCCCGGTCAATCTCTATATTGACTCCAAAATTTGCGCAGACATTTTAACAAACTACTCCAACAATGATTTCTTCACAAGGATGACAAGAGAAATGATAAATCGGTCCGGGGGACGGGTCAATCATATCTTTCGAGAAGCTAATACGGCGGCACATCATCTGGCACAACACGCTTTGCAAGAGAATACCTTTAGTAATTTTCATTCATTAGTTTCACTCCCAAAACGCTCTATGGGAGCCATTGCATGTGATGTAACAACTTCTTTTATTCGTATGAAATAAAAATTTTCCTTTATATATATATATATATATATATATATATATATATAATTTTCAACCGGTTCGACCAGTGAATCAGTGAACCAGTACCTCGACCGGTTCGATCGCCAGTCCAGTTCTGAAAACTATGCTTGGAGGTACTCTTACCCTGACAAAAAAAGCATTTGGAAACATTTTTTCGTCACAGAGGAAGTAATAAATGAATAAAATAATAATAAAATAAATAATTAAATAAGTAATATGAAATACATAAATAAATAAATAAATAAATTTAAACAAGTAAATTTATGTAAATAAATAAAGAAATAATTTTCAATATTTGTGAAAAAAGTACTCCGCTGTGATAAAAAATATATTTTTCTAAGTTACTAATGGTAGAAAATAATAGTGGAAATTTTTCTCAAAAAAACGAACGGAAAGAGGCGTTAGGCCGGCCGGTTGGATAGCGACGGCGGAGCAATGACTCATAAAAGGAAGTTTGGGACCCGCCTCCCACTAATCCCTTTCTTAGCTCCTCGGCCGCCGCCTCCTCCTCGGCTCCTCCTCCTCTTCCTGCATTTGCATTTCACTCGCATTCCAATTTCATTCGCATGTCACATTTTTCACTCGCATTTCGAATTCGAGCAGGAACCAGTAAGACACAAAAGAGGTGTGAGGCGGGACCCACCCCATTGCCCATCTTTGACTTTTGACCAACGCGATATCAGAGACGAAGAAGGAGAAAGTAGCGAGAAGAAAAGTCACACCTTCCTCCTCCTTTCCCCTCCACACCCTCATCATTCCATTTCCCCCTCTCCGCCTTATAAACACCCACCCCTCCAATTCTCTCATTCATATCCTCACCAATTTCATCTGCTCTTTTTTTTTTACCTCCTTTAATTTGCTGGAAGCCTCACTCATCTCATTACCTCAAGGTATGTTAAGGGAAAAAGACTAGATTTTTACTGTAAAGGCTTTCTTTTACCTGTTCTTTGTGACCGATTTGTTCCTTTTATGTGCTTTTACTTGTTTGGGCGAGTGGATAAACCTGAAAGATTGGGTTTTTATTGATGGGGCAGCCATATATGTTGGTTTCTTGAAGTATTTCAGTTTGGGGTAAAAATAAATTCAACCAGTTCTCAGTGTTTGCTTGGATTTGCTTGTGAATATGAAAGATTGGATTTTTATGATTTTGGATCTTGTCAACTTCTTGCAGGATTTGATGTGCAGTGGTTTGGAGAAGAGAAATCTTTGCTCTGTTGGGCCTGATATGGAAAAGAAAAATGGGGGCTCGAGCAAGAGTTGCTCGAAATTGCTGGAGCTATCCGCCTCGGATGATGTTTCTGGTTTTGCCGTCGAGGTGGAAGAGAAGGGTTTTGATGTGAATGAGCTGAGCTTCTGGTATGGAAGGAGAATCGGCTCTTCTTCGAAGAGGAAGATGGGGTTGGAAGAGAGAACCCCTCTTGCAATTTCCTCCATGTTTGGCAGTGTTAAGGTTTTGAAGTATATTCTTGGAACAGGGAAGGTGGACGTCAACGCCGCGTGTGGCTCTGATGGGGTTACCCCTCTCCACTGCGCAGTCGCAGGTGGATCTGAGCTCTCCGTGGACGCCGTCAAGCTCCTCCTCTCGGCGTCTGCAGCAGTCAACGCTCTCGATGCCAGTGGAAACAAGCCCGGGGATTATATTGCCTCTTGCCACAAAATCTCAGCCAGTTCAAGGAGGAGAGAACTGTCATTCTTGCTGAACGGGAGCGTGGTCGAGGACGAGGAAGACGATGGGGCGAAACTCGCGGGCGTCGTGCCGTGTGAGAGGAAAGAGTATCCGGTGGACACGTCGTTGCCGGATATAAACACGGGGATCTACGGGAGCGACGAGTTCCGGATGTATAGTTTCAAGGTGAAGCCGTGCTCGAGGGCGTATTCGCACGATTGGACCGAATGCCCGTTCGTCCATCCCGGCGAGAATGCCCGGAGGCGGGACCCGACCAAGTACACGTACACCTGCGTGCCGTGCCCCGAGTTCAAGAAGGGAAGTTGCGGGAAGGGAGACGGGTGCGAGTTCGCGCACGGCGTGTTCGAGTCGTGGCTCCACCCGGCCCAATACAAAACCCGTCTCTGCAAGGACGAGACGGGTTGCTTGAGGAAAGTGTGCTTCTTTGCTCATAAACCGGAGGAGTTGCGGCCGTTGTACGCCTCGACCGGTTCGGCACTCCCTTCGCCGAGGTCACCTTCCGTCAGCTGCCCGGTCGACATGGGCTCGCCCATGGTTGTTAACTGCTCGTCCCCGATGAGCGGGGGCGGGGCTACGTGGCAGAACACCTTTGCCCCGCCCGCGCTTCAGTTTTCGGGCAGCAGGCTGAAGACGACTCTGAACGCCCGGGACTTCGACTCGCAGTTGATGGAGGAGATGGTGGGGCTCGCGTCCCCGTCTCGTTGGAACAACGTGAAGCCGGCGAATCTAGATGACTTGTTCGGGTCTCTGGATTCCCCGTTGGGTCTCTCTCCGTTACAATCCCCGACGGGGCTCCAAATGCGCCTCCAACAACAGCACCGCGCGACGGGCGGCGGGGGGTACACCTCGAGCCGGGCCCACGCGTTTGGGTACGACTCCTCGGCGGCGGTGGCCGCAGCGGTCATGAACTCGCGGTCCGCCTCCTTCGGGAAGCAGCGCAGCCAGAGTTTCATCGACCGCGGAAGGGTCGGGGCCGCCCACCAACGGTCGACCAACTCTCCGCCGTTGATGACATCATCGTCGGACTGGGGTTCCCCGGACGGGAAACCGGAGTGGGGGTTCAGCGACGTGACGAACAAGCGGACCAAGTCCGCCTCGTTTGCGGTTCGGAACGGGAGCGGTTCTCCGAAGCGGGTGGCGGCACGGCGGGGGAACGAGCCGGACGTGTCTTGGGTGAATTCGTTGGTGAAGGATGTGCCGTCTTGGATGGATCAAATGTACATAGAGCAGGAGCAGGCGGTGGCGTAATTAGTTAAGGTCTTATTGGCAATAATGCATTATTTCCTCTCATACGTACGTGGACGGGGTGATAAAAATTATTCTTTTATATTTTTATTATTATTATAACTAGTTACTGTCTTACTGATGATGATGATGATGAATAAATATTACTACCAGTATAAGTACATTTTTAAAGATGTTGGATTAGCAGGCACGTAGTTTCCCGTTTTCCCCCAACACAACAACCCCACTGTTGGATAGATTGAGAATTGATGCAAACAAGATAAAAAAAGTATTTCGTTACGTATTATTGTTGCATTTCTTTCAATCTTTATTGGAATAATTAAATGTTGCGTTGGAATGTAGTGGTAAGAAATCCCACCTATTGATGTTATTTAAAAATTGATGTATAAAAATTACATAAAAAATTCTGCAAAAGATGAGGAGATGCGAATTTTAATTTCATCAAATGATTAATAAAACAAACAATAAATTCTCAATATTTTTGAATAGTGTTGTATGTAATGCAAAAGATGAGGAGATACGAATTTTTATTTCATCAAATAATTAATAAAACAAACAATAAATTCTCAATATTTTTTAATAGTGTTGTATGTAAGATTTGACTGAAATAGGTCAGTTTCTTGGCATTTTATTTACGGAGTACTACATTTTGAAATTTGAAGTTTTGGCCCAGTCTTAAAAGTCAACATTTCATCACTCAAATCCTTTTTTGAAAAGTCAAATCTCTTTAATTTATTCTCACTTGTATGGAAAAATAGTTAATACTCTACTAAGTTCTGAATTAATCATCTCATTTTTTTTAATTTTAACACTTTTTATAAATTTTGCAATTGCAAACTGAAATAATAAATTCAGAAGGGGAGAAAATGCTTTGTGTTTTGACTTTTTTTTAATCAAATAATGACACTCTTTGATAATAAATTGTGAAAAAATATATCGAATTATAATATAAATTTTATATATTTGGATTTATCTAAAGATACTATTTTGATATATAAATTTTTTAAAATATTTATTTATATAATACAAAGTATATGTTTAGTTGATAGTCGAAGAACGTTATTATTTTATTAAAAAAGTCAAAACAAAATTTTCAGATTAGGGGGAGTAGTTAAAATTATGCAATTAAGAGAGAGAGTGCACAATGTATTGACTATTGACTCAGCTCCAAAGTGGAGATTTGTAAAGAAAAAGTGGTGGGTGGCCACGGAGGCAGAGGATGGAGATTGGAGAGGAACATTTATAATGTGGGCCTGTGGGGTATAGTCTCATTCCTTCTAAAATTAGATTTTAGAGGTTTCTTTGATTATTAATTAAACACATTTTTTAGATAAATACTCCGTATTACGTAAATGTTATAAAATTTGATGTGTTAAATTACATTTTAAAATAAAATTAAATATATTGAAGTTATATTATAATTGAGTATATTTATTCGTAATTTAAAAGTAAACTAAGATTGTAATTTTGAGACATGCAACAAATGGTGTCAAGTGGCAATCACTTTCGTGTGTGTCAACTTTGCCAATACGTGTGGGGTTCCATTCGTAGAATATGATTATATGATATCCTTTGGAGTTCGGCCATTATTAATGTGATCAATGAAGGATAATGAATGAATGCTTTTGGTTTGCTGCCGTCCATTATATTATTGCCTTCAATTCCTTCTTTGGGGGTTTTCAAGCTTTCATAGCTATACATAAATTTTTAAAAGTATATTTAATTAAAAATAGTGTGTGACTATAATATTAATTATTCTTTTTAAAAATAGTTTATAAAATTTAATTTGTTAGTACAAGATTTATTTTTTTCGTCTTGTCCTGTATCATCGATTCTTCGAATTGCAAATAAGTCATGTAAAAGTTAAAAATTTTAGCCTTAAATCATTTCAACCACAAGTTAGACACTTCATTAAAAAAACAAGTTAGACACTTACTTTGTTACCATATAACATGAACTAAATTGACAATGAATCAAATAATCTTAAAAGAAAACTCAATAAATTAAACGCACACCGTTCAACTAAGAGTGTCGAGTGTCCGATAAATATATACTCCGGGGTAGGAGATATCAAGTACTACCAAAACTTTTGAAAGTAAGTATCAAATGGATTATTTGCATTTTTGGTATATTAATTTCATTTCTATTATAACATCAAAATTTTTCATATACTACGTATGTATTTAAAATAGTTGTATCAATTTTTAGTTCTGATATAAATAAATTTCATTTTAGGATTAATTATTGGTATTTATATTCTTATTTTTATTTGAGTTTATAATATGCTAAAAAATGTTTAGTAGCAAAGAAAAATTAACCTTAATTGATTGATCATTTATTTACATTTGCTTCTTATTTCTATGTTTTTTTTCTGCATATCATTTTTTTCATATACGTCAAACCAAGTACTACAAAAGCTTGATTTATTCACTTTGGTTTGGTTTTGTGGATTGAGAATCCAGCCCCAAATCAACTAAAATCAGCTCAGATTGTGAAAGATTTGTTGAAGTCGATCGAAGAACAACAAGAAACATTAAAAAAAGTGAGAACTGCGGTCAAGGAACGGAACGCTCTAGCGGCGTGGCGACGGAACTGCCGCCATCCGCCACCCCTCCAGCCTCCTTCCTCCGCCTTTCGACCTCTAGGTAAATTTGATATTATAATGATCTTCCGTTTCAATTCTCCCCCTTTTTAACTAGAAAATCCACTAACAAATCACTCATTAGCGTGTACATGTTGTCATGTAGAATCAAGTTGTCATTCTCAAAAAAAGTTGTATAACAATCAGAAATTATTTTTCCATTGATTTAATGACCCGCACTTTTACATAGTTTAAAAGAGTTGATTTAAGAAATCATTTGGCATATTAAACTTTTCTTGAAATTTATGACAATTTTGTCAGCAGTCACATTACAAATTATGTTCTTTTCCGTTTACAAGAAGAATAGACTGTGAAAGGGAAGAGTTTCAAACAGCAGGGAAGGAGGAGATGAACTGTATTTGTGGTTGGTATATTCTTTCCACTTCTTTTTCATTGCATTTAAGTGTACATTTGCAGTGGCACAAATGAATGTGCTAAAATGCATGATAGTTGTTTGTCAAATTTCCATTGCTGAAACATTTTCTGCTTCCTATTACTTGCAAATGCATTGCCCACAAAGATGCTGAATTTATTTTTTCAGGGCAGAGTAGAGGGATCCAGGTCAAACCCAACATTAAAAACTTGCTCCCCAGAGGTAATTAAGAATTTTTAGAATCCAAATCCCGATGTCTTGTTTACATGCCAGTATTGTTTTTGCAAGAACAAGTTGTGTGATCTCATGAGAAGACTAAGTAGATCTAATTTGTTCTCCTTATTTAGGGCCCATTTAGAACTTGGATCATAATCATTAACGCCCTATTCTATTCAATTTTTAATTACAGTTATCCACACTCTATGCCGGAGACTCTAGAATTTAGTTAAGAATAGAACATTATCCTGATTTAAGTTTTTAGACTTCAACTCGAGTCACCAAACTTCAGTTTCCAGATTCTAGGTTCGAGTGTCCAATCCGCACTCGAGACTCCACTTAAAAATAAAGTGTAAACAGCAAACCCAAAATCATTTTTAGATATTTGTTCAAAGTCATTTTATTTATATATCTCTGTTAAAGAATGACTATTCCCGTAATAAATATAAACGTGTAAAGTTTTAAACAGTTCCAATCAAATTTTCCTTCGTAGTTTCAAAAGAAAAAAAAACAGCAATCTTGGAGGAGGTTTTCCTTTCCCCATCACTTTCTGGGCTCCAAACATATAGCCTAATGGGTGATAAGGAGAAATCAGTGGGTGAAAGTTCTAGAGAGCTTAGTTTCGGAGTGTATCTAGAACTTGTCAATCAATAAATGTCTGAATGTGTCTGCAAATTACTAGTAGCTTTTAAATATTGGCTCAAAATGTATTGATTGTTGTTTTATATATCAAAGGGTATATTCACTATGCAGATCTATCAAGTAGAGAAACATACTCTTTTAGCATTAAAACATTCAGAAGAAGCAGAACATGTGTATTGAAGAGGCAGCCAACAAAAGTATCATGTGCACACAAGGGGCAACAAGAAAGAAGACACTTGGTCAAAATGTGTGGAATCACATCAGCCAGAGATGCTGCTTTGGCAGCAGAAGCTGGTGCAGATTTTATAGGCATGATTATATGGCCTTATTCAAAGCGTTCTGTTTCACTCGCTGCTGCAAAGGAAATTTCTAAAGTTGCTAGGGAATATGGAGCAAAGCCTGTTGGGGTCTTTGTAGATGATAATGCTGAAACCATACTGAATGTTGCTAATGCAGCAGACCTTGAATTGGTTCAGGTAATTAAGTCCTGGTTTTGAATTATTTCTCTATTTTCCTTCTATTGCAATTCATTGGTTCCAAACAGACCCTTAGTTGTTCTTCGTTCCATCACTTGTAAAGATTAATGTTGCAGTTACATGGGAATGGCTCCCGAGTTGCTTTTCCTATTCTGGTGAAGGAAAAGAAAGTTATATACGTTCTTCACGTGAATGAAGCTGGAGAACTTTTGAACACTATCTCCGATGAAGATTCCTCTTTGGTTGATTGGGTTCTAGTTGATAGTGCCAGAGGCGGAAGGTTTTACAATATATCCTCCTATTTACGAAATTTTACTGCACTGTTTGGTGAATTTTACATGTTTTGTCTTCGCTTTTTAAAAATTAAACAAAAAAACTTGCAGTGGCAAAGGATTTAATTGGGCAGGCTTTAAGCTGCCTGAAATCCGAAGCAAATGCGGGTGGCTTTTGGCGGGAGGGATTAACCCTGGAAATGTATGTGAAGCACTCTGTACGCTCAACCCACAGGGAGTTGATGTCAGCAGCGGAATCTGTGCTCCAGATGGCATCCAAAAAGATAAGTTGCAGATAGCTTCCTTCATGAATGCAGTTCAACATTTAAGATGATAAAGTAGTGTCTAATGGTTGTTTGGTTTAGATCATTATCGGATTTTATTGGTTTGGTTTCGAAAATTGCCAAATATAAATACATTGAGCATTTGGTCATTGTCGGTTTTAATTTGTCTTGGTCACATCAGTTGGTTTTCAAAGTTTATACCACTGAATCATACGAACCAATCGTGAACTTTAAGACCCTTTTAGTCATTGTCCCTAAACGAACTGCCTGTTTTCTTGTTTCAAATTTTCATTTGTTTCTTTCTCTGCAAAAACTTTCATGGTACAATTTCATTTTTTTCATAAACTCTAAAAAAACAAACAAGAACGTTTTTTGGGGACAGGGAGTACATCCTTTTTCTTAGAAGAAAGCTCAATGTTTATTCTTTGGAGATCCAGAAAGCCAAGGATCAGATTGATAATACACGACATCCCCAGCATCAGTTACAAAATGGTCTGTCTCTAAGCTTCTGATCAGGTCCCGCACCAGATGAAATGAGAGTGGCCATAACAATCTCTTTGGCTCTCTGTAATACTTCCCAAGCACAGGTTTTGCTGCTTCAGTCTATAACACAAGATGATGATCAATACCAATCATCAGCTCTAACAGTGTTATAATAGAGCCGAGGGATCAGAGATTGGATTAGTAGACTTACAGCTTCTGTTAAATGATAATGGGTATTTGAGGAAAGAGGTGGTGTATGCCATGAGTCCCAATGTCATGGTGGATGCTGTTAATCACTCCGTAATCATGGTCAAGTGTTGTAAGACCACCCCTAAGGTAACTCCATTCCTGCTTGGATTGCATTTATAAAATCCTTAAAAATCTCACCATTTTCTATAGTTTCGGTACATCATAGGAAAACTTATTCCTAGTGATTCAAATTCGTTCGTTGAAGGCGTGTTTGGTTGGAAATGAGCAGAACATTGCCTTTCCTAATCTGGTTTAAAAAATGACCTTTTTCTCTCTCCAATCAGCTCCAACCAAACACGCCTCAAGTTAAAAATTTATCATCCCCTCCCTTCCAACAAACTAAACAAGGTAACATTAACCCCCCCCCCTCCTCTAACCAAACACAACCTAACTTTCACTACTTCATTTTGGATCAAAATGAGATCCTGTTTTACCTGGGCTTCTACCCCACTGCAATTTATCAAGTATTATTATTATTATTAAAAATAATTGTAAGTTCTAATAAATGGAGCAGATAATTTTTTATATTAAAAATTAAATAAAAACTTTACCAGATAAATAGGGTATGCAAGCAGGGGTAATGGTAAGGTGAACCTCAATGTCTGTGTGACATCATCCAGGCTATTGTAAAGATTTTCAGTTATCTAGAATAATAAATGGACAAAAAATAGTAATATTACTCCAAGATGAACCATTTGATTAATTTTTGGTAAAAAAAGAAAGAAAGAAACTGGATCGAATGAACAGCTAAATTATTAGAAATCAAACCAGGGATTTGGCAGAAAGTTCAATTCTTACAGGGTGCCGAGATTCATCATTCTCAACATGACCATGGTTTTGATGATGAGTCCTATGGCTAATCCTCCCGCAGCAATACCAAATTGGTTCTTATCAATGTTTTAAGTACAGAAAATATATAATCCTGATTGAAAATAAATAAATGAAAAGAAACAAACCATCCGTGGTAAGGGACAAGAATTGAAGAATGAAGGAGATGCCCAACTACAGAGTTGAGCATAGGGTTATTAGAAAAGCCTCCATGGCCACTGCATATTTCAAATATGACTCTACCAGTCATGGCCAAGGACAAACAGAAAAGGAACCAGAAAACAAGAAAAGGAAAAGAAGAAGTGAAATACAACTCTACCAGTCATGGTCAAGAACAAAAAGAGCCCAGAAAATGGTGCCTTGAGCAAACCAGTAAATAGGCCAAACAAACCAGCTGTTGGCATAAACAGCCACAGCTGCCAATCCAAACACAGCCATGGCATCCCTAACCACAAAGCCCATTGACTTCTCAGGGTCCTTAACCTAGCAATGCTTGGGAATTGCTGCCCTAATTTCAGACAGCTTGAACTGCGGGGGAGCACCGGGATCAAAGCATGAAACTTCATCTTCTACCTCTTAACTCATCACAGAAGAAGCCCTCAATGTCCAGGTCCTCTCTCTGGTCACTGACAATGAAATTGACTAATTGAGCATCTACCCAGAGCTGTTCTTGAAATTTTCAGCTCGGGTAAGCTGCTAGTACTGAAAGAAACGGAATCATCCCTGGGTTTTGGGAAAATTCTTGGGAGTGGCCTCAGGCCACACACTGGTAATACTGCCAAACATGCCATTGGGGGACTCTGGAGCGGAAATCAAATCTGCTTTTCTAATTTGCTCTGGGTTTTTTTTTCTCTATTTTGGACCCGAATGTTTTTTGACTCATTAAATCGAGATATATTTTCTCCATATAAAAAAAAATTTTTCACTTTTACTCTTTGGGCGTAAAAAAATATATTTTTTACTTCATTTTCTTTTAAAGTTGTGAATATGTGAATCACATGATTTCTTTCGCATTGAACTTAGTGCCATAGGATGAACTGATGACGGTTTGCGGGGGAGGGGGGGGAGTAGGAACCATCAAGTTTACCAATGGAACTATGAAGGAGATTTGGTGTCAATATCTTAAGAATTGTGATGATTTCTAAGTTGAATTGTGATGATTTCTAAGTTCTACTAGTAATATTTTCAATTGTCTTTTTTATGTTTCAACAATTTTTTTAACAATGCAAAAGCCAATCAAGGTTTTTGGCGGTGGATGAAGTACTTCTTTTGTCTCAAATTAAAGTTTTACATTTTATTGTACACAATTACTAATGAAGATATAATTTATTGGGTGGGAGCCATGCATAAGATAGAGAAATACTCCGTATGATTTAAGCCATATAAACACTTGATAAAAAAATTGAACCTTATTTTGAAACAAATAAAAAAATATAGAATCTTTTCCAAAAGGATGTGTACAAAATATGACCATCATCCAACTTGCACAACATTGAATAGTTGAATGTAGAACGCAATTCAAAAAGGATGACATCCTATCCCAGATGACCCTTTAGCAATGATTATACAATTAGTTGAAAAGAAATAAGTTAAACTATAATTTTAGTCAGTTGGTATAAGAATAGGATTTCATGAATGTGGAGGCATTAAATGACTAGTCATGGACAATTCCCATCCTAGCTATGTACTAAAATTCAAGTACCACATTATAATTATGCATGGAGTTGACAAGTAATTTTGTGGGAATATGACAAGTAATTAAATGACTAGTCATGGACAATTATCTGTAATTCCAAACAAAAATTTAGAGCTTAAAATTTCTCTAATGTTTTGATTGACATATGACTTCTCTGAGATGAAGCTTTGAGTTGTTTTCTTGCTTTCGTCAATGTTAGCCTTCAGGTGACTTGTCATTCCCAAGTAAAAAGTAAAACTATTTTTCTTCAGTCCCAATTTGAATGGTCTATTTATGTAGTATTTATAAAGTTAAACTTTTATCACATCCTTTATCCATTTTCGTTACACATTTGAAAAAATAATAGTTTTATAAAAAAATTTTATGTAGTTTTTAAATATATAAATTTTATCTTTCAATTTCATACCTGTTTTCAAATAAATCAAGTTGAAAATAACTTAAGTCAAATCTTGTAAACAACAATAGACAATTTAAATTGGAACGAAAGGATTACACGGTAACGCATGTACTCATTTTGACTTTAGGCATGTTTACTTATATAAATAAAATACGGAGTACAATACAATGTTTCTTGATGTTTACCTTTCATTAGGTAAACCCAAGTGTTACTGAAGCCATCAATCACTTCCAGTGTCTATTATGGGAATTACTTACATGATATTGTCCCCAAAATGTCAAAATGTAACAACTCATAACATTCATGAGCTTGTCCACCTTGAACCAAAAGCCTCCTCTCATCCCAAATCAAAACACATTGACACAAGGTATAATGAGATGGCCATATGCATTACGAAGCGACAAGAGTGGCATATAAGTTCAGCATTACGGAGCGACAAGAATGGCGGATGAGTTCATCACATTTTGACAAAGGAAATGAATATGGTAAAGCTTTGCAGTCGGTCTACTTGAAGGAATATAAAGCAGCAGCAGGTCGATGCTATGGGGGTGGCTTAGAACTTAGAAGTTCCACCATTTGCGCTTTTCCATGGACTTGGCAAGCTCTTTTGCCATTGATGCAAAGTTTTCTGCCCCACTCTGAAGCTCTGCAGTTCGTTCACTTAGTTTCTGGTAACAAACAAACACTGCCGTTAACAATGCCCATTGATGCAAAGCACAGCATATATTTTTTTTAAATAAAAATGATAACCTCAAACGAAGCATTATATTCTCTCTCCAGTTAGCTGAGAGCTAAATGCATATCTAAACATTTGTATCTGAAACTTAAATTTTTCAAAAATAAAATGATCCCCTTCCTGATAGTGAATATGATGGTTGCAGGGTCATTTAACTTCATTTCAGCCGAAAATAAAAAAATAGTTCAATGTTTAATATAAAATATTAATGAAATAAAAATAGATCAATGTTTAATATAAAAATTTTTATTTTTAATGAAATAAAAATAGATCAATGTTTAATATAAAATATTCCATAAAAGCCAAAAGATTACAGACGAAACGAGCACTAGAACTACATGTCTAAAATGCCAGTAGAAAAACAGAAAATATTGATGAAAACAGAACCTAACAGATAATGTCAATTGGATGAGTATTTATTACGGCAATACTCAATATGTTTAGTTGACCTACCTCAAGTTTCTCCCCACGCTCAACGAGCTTGTTTCTCGCTTGTGCTGCTGCAGAGATGGCCTCCTACAAGTATAATTGGAGTGATTTGAATAAAGTAGATATTTGATTTGTAATTAGAAAGTTTATCAAATCAAACTAACCCCTTTGTTTCTATACTTGGCAATAATTTCTTCGCGGGTTCTTAGTCTTGGTTTTGTATCAGTTGATCCGCCTTCAAATAGCTTTTCTCTTTTCTTTTCATTTTCTGAATCAGCCGACAGCAGATGTAGCATTTTTCATAGGATATAGTAATTAAATATTAACCAGGGATTTCAAAAATGCCCGAAATACCTTGTCTGCTATTATTGCTCTGTTGAGATGATGATGCTGCAGAAATGGGTTCATCAATCTGAATATTATCTGTATCCCATTAATAAAAACAGGTAAAATAATCGTCAGCATGTTAAATCATTTGATTTTAATCCAGCTTTTAGGATGGTGTGGGCGATAAAAAAAAAGTGGAATCAAATACCTATATTTAGTTCCAAGTGTCCTTCGCCATCACAGACACTTGTAAGAGGATCTGAGAAAGGAAACCTGGAAAATATGCTCTCTAGATGTGCAATAAGATTTTCCCGCGTTTCAGTAGAGTCAATAACTTGCTCTCCTTTTCCCCCTTTAAACCCCTTGAAGATGCCAGATACCATACTGTTGACAGTAGTCTAGCAAAAAAAAGGAAAACAGATTAGATAGCTGACCAGAAACAGAGAATAGCAAGGGGCTTTTATATCATACAACCTTTTTACTCTCCTGGTTTTGGGACAGACAAGGAGCTGCATTTGCTGCAGCTGCAAGGACTTTATCATGAAGACAAGGCAATGCCTCTGGAATCCTAACATAGAAAGTTCAAACACTAATGTTTATAAAGGTGAATGCATGAGAGAGAGAGAAAGGGGGAGAGAGAGAGAGAGAGATACCAAAAGTCATCTCCAGAGAACAATGACAAAATAGCAAATTCACACCCATTGACCTGCAAGGCCAGGAATCCAATGTGCCAGTTAGCAAACTATATTGCCAAGTAAACTAGAACTAGAGAATATAAAAAATATATAAACATGCTGAGATCAAATCTGAAGTGAGAAGTAGAAAACTACACACCAGTGATATAATCCCTTTACCGGGAGAACTCAATGTCTTAAACATATGTGTTTCGAAGTTCCATCTAAGTAATGACACTAGTGATGTGTCTCCAAGCACTTTAAGGTCCGGCAAAGATCTGCCAGAGGTATCATCATGACCAAATACATTAAAAATCTATCTAAATGATGCCTCGTAAATTAACACTTGACAAGAGTTATCTAACTTATTAATCTAAAATGAATACTTTAGTGACTATTTATCTAATACTCCCTATTAATCAAGAGGTAGAAACCAGGAAATGAATATTGAAATGTTTTTGTATTATGCATTGTAAATGAATACTTCAAAAGATATACTTCAAATCAATATTTACTAGAAACAAGAAATGAAAAAAATTACAATAAATACTTCATAGAAAAGAATTAGGAAAAGGTAACAAAACATCAACACGACTTTAGTAACAATTCATAGAATAAGGCGGTGCATAAGTAAATATTAGTAACCAGAAACAGATAGGACTTGCCGGATTTCAATATCTCCAGTCCGGTATATTATGATCAATCCACATTCTCTATCATCATCATTCTTGAACAAAGCAGTCCAACTACACGGTTTATCAAGATTCACTTCTCGGAGGATAGAGGTATTACCCTGTTATTGAATCCCTAATCACAACTATAGGAAATTCAAGGATAACTGTTATGGAAGGTTTAACACAAAAAAGTCACCTGCACAACAGACTTTAAGGAGATCAAATATATAATATCCTCACAGCAAACTAAAATCTGAGAATCCTTAATATTTTGCATAAGAGAAGGCTTCACATGATTGTTGGGATCTGCATAACTGTTTTGTTCAAGGCCACCAGACTGTGCTGATTGATCTTTACTTCCAATATCCTTGAGCAAAGGATGCTTGTCAGACCCTTTGTCAAAAGATGTATTGCTCTCTGCTAACACAATGAAAGGATGAAGCAACACAGATTCATATATAGCTGTATGTAATCCAGACTCCAGACTGATGCTAATTGACTGAATAGGGACATGCCACTTCAATCATAATTAGAAACTTACACATATAAGTTACTACTTCCATCCCTTAAAAGGAGTCCTTGTTCTTCACTTGTTACGTCCCAAAACAAGAGACCAATTTGAATAAAATCTATTTTTATTCAAATTTAATGTCAAGTTATTAAAATGGAAGTGTTCCAAACAAGTTGCACATGTTAAGTTGAGTTAAACAAAAAACTACAAAAAATCCATATTTGGTGATTTCCTACGGCTGTACCTTACTAAAATTTAAAACTTGTAACTTTAGAAAAGACCCTTTTCTAGGATGGAGGGAGCAAAGTTTAAACAAAGTGTATCTTTTCCTTTTAATGGCTTATTATCACTCATTAAAGTGGCTGGTAGAGGTGTATTGTTTGTTAACATATTATATATATAAATGTTTAGTAAAATTAACAATCCATCGTTATCAATAAAATGAAAAATGACTTCAAATGACATTAAGATGTTTTATTCGAATAATTTTTTTATATGTGTTTTATAATGATAATATTATTAATGTATTTTCTATAGCAAATTATTAATATTTAAATTTTTTTCAAGATATCCCTTATCATGCTCAAGAGATTTGTCGTTTCAAACATTTGAAGATGATTCTTACCTACAATATGTAAAGAAACTGAAGTTGTCACTTTTTCTGGATGTACAGGCTGAGAATTAATCATATTTCCAGTGTTGATATCCATTAAAATTATTTGTCCATCTCTGGTCAAGAATAAAGCAAGCTCTTCCTCAACTTCATATGAGGTTCCACATTCAGTGTTCACAATATTTTGATTGATAGTTGAAAATGCCTTTGCAGAAAGAGAATTGATAGGAGACATTGAACTAGAAACACAGTCCAAAAGAAATAAAACTGATGGTGAACCAACATCAAGCACAGCAACCTGCGATAGGTTATTAATAAATCTGAATGAATATTTTGTTTTCCCCTAAAACTTGCTACCTCTTCCCAGTGTATTTGTCCAGTTTGACTTTCTCGAGTCAAATTGGACAAACTTTAAGCTTCAATTACTCTCAATTTGTATTGTATATTAGTATAATGAAATGCAATATTGAAAATTCTTAATAAGATAAATCTAATTAAATCATTTTTATACTAAAATACATGACTGTTTGAGAGTAATTGATGCTCAAAATTCATCCTCTTAGACTCAAAAAAGTCAAACTGGAGAAATACACTGGGACAGAGAGAGTATAATCCTGCATAAACAGATCTTACCTGGCCGCTTTCGTACCCAACAGCCAGTTTGGAGCCGGAAGCAATGTACTGCAGGATGCATACTGGAGAATTGACCAGTGAAAAGATAGCTGCGCATTGATATCCAGCCCCACTTGGAGATGAGTGAACTGAAAATGAAACATGTTGATAACCAGTAAGGTGACAGAATAAAACATACCGCTAAAGTACAACTGATGTGATTCATATATATCTATTCTTCAGAGCAAACAACAACAAAGCCTTTATCCCGAGTAAATTGCACTCTCTTTCCATTTCCTTCTATCTTCATTGTGACTATTTACATATACTTTGTAAGTTGTAAGAGAATAGAACTTCATTGATACTGTGCGATGCTCTTATTAGACGACAACACTCTACAGCCTACACTGTAGTCAACGAATTTCTTCTAGGAAAGAGATTAACAAATTAATAGGTGATTAGGCAAGAACAAGCTATTGGGTCTTTGTTGGTGGGAATTTGGTGTAAAAAGAAAACAGGATGTGACATCTCGATCTAGTGCAGAATCAAAATATAGTGCTATGGCATCTCCATTAAACGCTGAATCAAATTATTGTGCTATAGCAGGCACGTGAGATAATCCATGCGCGACTATCTGCAAATTCTATTTGAGTAGGATAGGATTCAAAAACACCAAAGTCTGCTAAGTTGTGGTGTGATAATCAGGCTGCTCTACACATTGCATCATATCCAATCTTTTGTAAGAACAAACATACAGAGGTTCATGGAAATTTATCTGAGAAAAATATAAAGAAAGATATTATATCTGCTATATATGTAAAGACAAGAAAACAACTAGGGACTTGTTTACTAAAGCACCAAGTGGTTTTCAGTATTTCAGTTGATTATTTTTGTTACACGTCGGCCATGATACACATATTTGCTCCAGCCTAAGGGGAGTCTGATAATTTTGTCAATATTAACCCTAACCCTTCAAAGTGTTGCCCTAACTATATGTGCCCAGCCTATTTATATGTATGCATTAAGTGTGGGGAAGAAACATCAGAACAGTATAAAAGTAGTATAAAAACATTTCCAGTTAAATTCTTCACAACAACAACCCCATAAGTTCTCACAAGTGGGGGCCCAGGGTGGGTGGAGTACACAAAGCTTACCCCTTATAAAGGTCCATACAATTTCTATACACAATACTCCTGTTTCACTGAGTTTGGGACAAGGGTAGGTGGTTATGCAAATTTAAGAAAAAGTGAAATTGTGTGGCTGATATTGAAAATGTGAAGTATGGAAAAGGTAAAATGATTCTGAACCACTCAAGTATGGCAGGGAACAAACATATCAGGATGAACCAAAAATGATAAAATGGAACAAAAGTTGTGGAACAAAGAGTATTTTTTACCCTACCTATATTCATTACAGTGCCACTAAATATCATGCCATAATAATAATAATCAAAGAAGATAAATGTCCTAAATAAGTTTGAATTCTTAAAATTTAATCACAAAACAGGGAAACAATTATAACCCCACCACACCTTCAGTTTTGATTTTAGTAATGAAGTGCAACTTCATTTTCTCAGAGCCAGAGCTGGTGCAAAGCATATAATGGTGAACCTATATGTAAAAAAGAACAAACCTTTGGTCAAAATACAGAACGTAAAAAAATGTAACCATCTCAAACACTTCACATCTTACTTGGCCAGATTCATTGCCAAAAGCAATACTCAAAGAAGTAGTGGAAAAGTCCAGGGATGTAATTGCTGCACTAGAACTAGTGCTTTCCAAGCCCTTCACCTGTCGAGTATATTTGGAGTGCTCTGTGAGTATCAACAAGTCAATCAACCAATAGCTGAACTCTTGATCAAGCTTTAAGCTAATATTCCCTAAAATACTACCTTCGCTACATTGAACAAGATAGTGCTCAGCTGAGTAGTAAAATAGTACGAACCTCAGAAAAGATCACAAACAAAAGTGACAAAAGTGGGTAAGTTGCATCCCACACTCGGACAGATCCATCTTGATATCCTGCTATGTATAGTCTCTCAACAACATTATCTTCAGTTAAAGACAATTGACCAGGAACACCACCAGTTAGAGGCCACTTTGATTCCTCTTTGTTTATAACATGAAATGACTGTTATCATAGCTTGCTGTTAGAGTTCGCAATAAAGCATTTTTGCAAGTGATAAATAAAGCATTAGCACCTTTAATGAACTGCATGCGAAGTTATATTTCCTATCCATAAAACACAACTTTCCCACAGTCATGCAAGGGTCGAGAGCAGGTATTGCCACTGGATACCGAATACTGACAGCATAATTATTGTTTTCTTGCTTAGATTTCAAGGTGGAGAAACAAGTGTTTTCATAATAATCCAACTGTCCTGTGTTTGTCAGTATAAAAAATGAACTGGTATCATTGTTTTCCACATTGCAAGCATCTGGTACTGTAACAATATCTCCAAATGATCCTTGAAGTTTAAGGTCTACTCTATCAATACATTTCAATGCTGCAAACCCAGATGACCAATCAAGTTTCAGGATCTGTCAAAGTCAATCAAATGCATTTTATCAATTATACAGAAATCCAGACCTAATCCTGTTATATCGAATTGCAAGTTTGCAACCAAATTATTTAAAAGGGGAAGAATGAAATAAGAAACAAAAAAAAGTTTCAGAACAAAATTCTCCATAGCATATATTCAGTAGAAACACAGCCTTTCTTATTTAGCATGAAGTTAACTGACTCATTAATCCTTCGTTAAGCATGAAAACATATGACATCTTTCTATCTATTTTTTAAAATAGATATTAACCTAAAATACTGTAGTCTACGGATAGACTGCCTACATATTCAGCTAATAGCCTGGTACTGAAAATTTTGATGTGTGACACAACAGCTTTTGGTGTAATGGAAAAATAGATGAGGAATATAACTATATGACTATATCTCCAAACATAAGTTAATATGTTAACTTATGGCAATCAACCACAATATAGAATCAGGAAGAATCATACCGTCACAACCTCTTCGGATCCAATTTCACCACCTCCGTAAACAAAAAGGTGGCTTCGAAAACTGTTTTGAGATTTGTTAGCAGAGCGCAAAACAGTAACAGGAAGCCTTCTGTCTTCAGATGATAGTTGAAACTTAACAACAAAGTTAGCCTGAATTTCAGCCTCGGTGTCATCAATATAGTCTGGCACAGATAAGTTCCATAGAAAAATGTCTCCATCTACATACCCAACAGCAGCAATTGACCCATCAGAAGACAGCCAACAAATGGAACTTATTTCCTTCTCTGGTTGGTCATGGTCATTGGAAACATTTGCATGTACTTCGCTCAAATTTGTTTGAGTGCATACAAAAAATTCCTTTGGCTGATGATGTTTTTGACCTCTAACAAGTACAGCTTTATCTTCTGTAATATCCCATAGAATAAGTAACCCAATTTCATAAGCAATCAGCACTCTGTAAACAAAGAGAGCATAAGGAACTGTTAAGAAGTTATGATGGTATAAAATAGTCAATATGATTAAATGTATGTATATATATATATATATATATATATATATATTAGTTATGAAAAGGTAACTTTCTCTTCAAACCTATTTCCAAGTGAACATGGATGGAGAAGCAACCCAACAATGGATAGTTGGTTGGACGATAAAGCCACATCAGCTTCTGCAAATCAAGCAATATTAAAGCATGTGCTAATGCAAATGTAAAAACTGATTCAAGTATTACATTCTTTTTATTGAAATGATAATATAAGATGTCGCAACCCCAGCACGAAGAAAAATGAGATCATAAGCTGTTCAGACTGCATACCAAAAGAAACCGGAAATTTAAAATAGTTTCTAAAAACAAATGCTAGATCCCATCTGTTGGATAGAATTCGTACAGTGAACAACTTTGTTCAAGTACAAAATATAAAGGAGTTATCAAGCAAGCCCATTACCACCTGCAAGATTTGGGGGCACATAATATGGCAACTGCACAACATTTCTTTTCTCGGCATCATATTTCAGCGCAGACAAATACCCGTATTCATCCCCTAAACACCTGTGTTGCAAATAAACTGCATGGTTATGAATCAGTAAATCTGTAAATGTGAAGATTTTAAGAGGGGGAAAAATAAAAGAGATAATGTTCAATGCCCACTTACATGTATTGAGTGCCATAGATAACAGAGAATGCAGTTATGTTTGACTCCCACTTTAATGTAGAAGACAAGTGTTTGTTCTCCAGATCCCAGACCTTCATAAGTTAAGTAAAATAAGGAATTCAATTAGAGCAGAATACTCTTGTTGTCGCATGAGGGATAAAGAAATGAACATTGGCAATATATAGTGTAGATGGGAGGAATGCCCTGTTAATGAGAAAAGTACCCCAACTTAGAAAGTAGAGAAGATGTTTCCATGAGACCCCGGCTCAAAACACATGATCACAATGAGAATAGTACTCAATTGATCAAATTGAATAGATAACACTGCACACTGGACAGTACCTGAATCTCATTTTCATTTGAGATGCTCACAATGAAACCTTGGTTTTCTAAAAACTGAAAGATAAAAAAAGACATTGATGAAACATTAATAGCAGGAATATATAAAAGGGGGCTGAGAGTTAATAATAAAAGGAAATCTATAAGTTCTAGTTTATAAAAAACATGGTCCATTGATGTACTGCAGTTTATGTCATATGCTTCCTAATTCTACTAACTCATGGGCAAGGGATCCGGTTATACAAAAGAAATTACTCTGCACTAAGGAATTAGAAACTCTCAAACTCTAATATTCACTCTTGAGCAGGCATGCAGTTTCCTCAACCATGACGAATGTCAAAACCAAAGGAGAACTCCAGTGGAGGCCATAAAACACATTTATGCTATGAATTTAACTCACTAACCTCTAAATTCTTGAAAGGATGTGGCTTATGAGATACAAGAAGGCCTTCAATATAATCCCCCCCAACAACTTTAATCCTACCATCTCTGCAATCAAAGTTATTAAGGAATATCAGCACAAAACAAGTGTTTGTTCTATACCAGAACAATGGAAGGTATATACTCCTAGCATTTATAGTTATCATTGTGCATTCAAATGCGGGCATGAGGTCCACAACCCCAACATTCATCTATCAAAATACCATATCAGCAAATTTGCTATCGTCTTTCCTACTCAGTCATATACATATTGCTTTCAGAATTATATCAGAGTACATTATGTGATAGAAATTAAAGACAAAAATCAGGCCAACCAAATTAGTGTAGGTCAGTTTAGATGACCCCACTCCCACTCACATGGTGCAGGATTGCGAGATTTTGAGAGTTGCAATTTTGAAATGCACCTCATGAAAAATTGATTGTGCAATCAGTGTTGGCTGTTGGTCATGCATAAGATATAAACTATACAGAGTACACACACACACACAGTCACATGACACCTTACAGTGAGATGATATGTTATGATCAGATGACGCAAAGCTCACCAAACTGTAAGGCAAAGCTCACCATATTTTTTCAACACTTTGATTTTAAAAAAAAAATAAAATCAAAGGAAGAGGTGCTGACTATATTTTGACCGTTGACTGCCACCCTTGACACCCATCTGCTGCAGCAGTCGCCGCCGCCTCCGGTCGTCTGACGTCGCTGCTGACCGGTGTTGGTATTTTATTTTTAATTAATTTTTTAATTTTTAAAATTTTAACAAATGGTGAGTTTTAGTGTTCAAAGTGGTGAGCTTTGCTTTATTATCAGGTGAGCTTTGCATTGACGATTGGTGAGCTTGGTGTCATCTCACCGTAGCATGTCATCTCACTGTAAGATGTCATGAGACCGGAGTATATATATATGTATGTATGTATGTATGTATGTATGTATATGTATGTATGTATGTATGTATGTATATGTATACATACATACATACATACATACATACATATATATATATATATATATATATATATATATATATATATATATTAAAAAGGACTTTTATTAGAGAGAACAAAAGAGCGAATTACTTGGGTCCCAACATGCTGGCACCTAGTATCCTTGAAAGTAGAAATACAAATGCTAAAAACAAAGGATTTATAAAGGTAGGTGTCAATCTTGTTTACCAAACACCAGGTCTGGACCATTTTGTTTATTGATGACATTACTCTATCCTTTGTCAACTTTTCATTTGAGTGAACATTAAATATATTTGTTTGTGTATTATTGCACTCATTTGATGAGACAGATCGTTAGAAGGAAATGGACCCAATTGAATGGACAATTAGGCCACATTACTGAAGTACAGAACCATTCTTGTTATTAAGCTCCCTATGGGCTATGTACATCTAGGTGCTTGAACCAATACTAATGTGTTGAATTAAACTGCATACTCACGATGTCCCAATAGCTAAGAGCTGTTGAATAGGGTCAAAAGCCATAATAGATGCAGTGGCTGGAATCCCATAGTGAACAGCAATCCCTGCTGGTAGCTTTGAAGTTTCCTGTGGCTCACTCCGCTGCAGAACGAGAAACGAAACAGCAAAAGCAGAAATTAGATCAAGTATAAGACTGTTCCAAAAACGCATTAAAACCAATTGAAGAAAAGTCTTCAATAACGGGCACGAAGAAATTAATTTCCTATCAATTAAGCATATAACTTTTGTCCATTGTTGACGGTGCTAAAAGAGTCTTATAATGTCTTATCTTCAGGTAAATAATGGACTAGATCAAAATGACAAATGCAGCAATGCAGAGAGGGTCTGATCGAAATCGCCTCATGCTGCCTACATCTTGACCATGAGGTTTTGTTGTGATAAGAATAATTGTAACTACATGATGTTGGAACTCATGAAAACTTTATTTAAAAAACATTGAGTCGTTCAGTTGCTGCATGTATACTACTAAATAATTTCTTAATTTGCTATTTTGTGGCCTTTAGCTGTTCTGACTAGCTTGCATTCCATATCTTCCATTAAAAGTACTTGATATCTCATTTCTCAACATATAATTGTCCATAAGATATCCAATATATTTTTTAAAAAGTTTGTCAAACAACAAGAAATGAGCTCAATTTAGTCAAACCCACAAACAAATAAATGAGGATTTCTACAAACTCAACTCAACTAAAAATAAAAGGCTCCACTCTTGTGAAATACTGCTATTTTCTGAGCTGGAGTCGCAGAAAGTTCACATCTTATGTTTGAGAGGGAAAGGAAAAGAAAAGAAAAGTGGAAGAAAATGAGAAAATGAGAAGGCAAAATGTACTAAAAAGATGGAAAATCAAATTCCTCCTATTTTGGTGAGGAAAATGAAGGAAAACCATTTTATTCTCTTTTTCTTTCAAATTCCTTGAACCAATTAATCTTTGAGACGGGAAAAATGGGAGAAAATGAGATGAAAATCTTGCGGCACTATCATCCATGAATAATAAAAACGAAATCAACCAAAACTAAAACACCAATTGCAGAAAAGATTCGATAAATTCACCTGTGGAGAAGAGAATTTTTGCAATAATTTAGTAAGCATGTTGGTGTCACGTTAGACAAAGAGCTCCCCTGATATTTTCTTCGAAGTGGAAAAGTCGCGTCGCCTTGTTAAGAGAGCTGCGCCTCGAAGCGAAGCAAAAGCATGGCATTCCAAGGATCTTGCATTTGGTTGAATTCGTTCACAGTTCTCCGATCTATCAAAATACCAGTGATAGAAACGAATTGGTTGCCGATGATCCCACCGCGTTCGTTCAACTGTTTCCAGCTTTTTTTATTCTTTTCCTCTTTTTTTTTTGAGAAGTTTTTTTATTCTTAGGTAATGCACAAAATGGAATAATGGACTAATGGAGTACACTCCTTGATTTTAAAGTAGTATGATTGATGTTTCTAAGAGGGATCAATAAATTACTTTATTTAAGCTTTGTACTAATAATATACAAGTGTAATATTAGCATAATGTCACTCGCATTTTAGTCCCCTACAAAATCTTGGTGCACAAATATGTTGTGCAAGTAGTACCATAGCATAATTCAAAAGAAATACTATCAAAAACCCACTTTAATTGGAAAGATTATCAATTCTTTAACTTTTAGGATGTAGGCCATAGATGATCAACTACGGAGTATAATATTTCAATTGAGGGGACGTTCCCTCAACATTAGAAACTAATTTGACATGAAGCATTTACAATATCTCGTTTGTAAAATTGATAATTCATGTCAGCTCTAATGTTTCTTTCCGTGGATCCTCAATTGCCAATTGGACAACTAGGGGGTGCGCGGAAGGGGAGGGACAGGAGGAGGGGGGCAAAAGAGATATTAAGAGGTCAGAATATGACACTAATGTTCATTACCAAAAGAATTCAGGCTGGCCAGGGAGAGGTGCAATGTTTACCATTCCATTTTAAACATGCCCTAAAAGAATCCTTGTTTTAAAATCTGAATGCGCCCGCCTTTTGACTGGTGACTCAACGGCCCTTGTGCAGTTGTGCCTTAAACGCTCCAACAGAATCTTACTCAAAACAAATCAAAATTAATAAAAATTACTCCATAAATTTTTTAGGGAATATAAACTGTTTTTAGTAGAATAATTGATAGTTCAATTGTTCAAAAAGACTCGACTTTATATTCCTTCCGTTCTTAAAAAAATGTCACGGTTTGATTTTTTAGTCAAACTATTGTATTCTTGACCATGAATTAAATATAATTTAAATGGTTAAATATTTAAAAATTTTGATATCTCAAAAAATATAATTTAAATAAGTCCAATATTTACTAAATTTACATTATAAACTAAATATTTTTTTTTCATAATTCACAATCAAAATATGTCACAGTTTCACTAAAAAATCAAATTATATCAATCTTTTAAGGATGGAAGTACTTCATATACTTCCTTTGTCTCCAAATAATTGTAGTTTTGCATCATTAAAAAAGTATACCATATGAATTTTACGGAGTACTCCGTACTTCATTAGAAAAGCAATATCTTTATTTTTAGCGCTTTCAGTATATTTTTGTTTGCCCCTTGTGTTTAGTTGAATGTACTTTTATTATACTAATTATTGGGGAAGTCTTTTAGAAACACTCTCTACTTTTAGTGAGGGCAAAGTCTGCGTACACATACCCTCCCCAAACCTTGCCGATGTAGGACTCTACTAGGTTGTTCATTGTTGTTGTACTTCATTAGGAAAGTAAAGAAATTATGGCAATTATTTTAAAACAAGCTAAAAAAAGTGGAAGATAATTAATTTGGAAATACAAGTATCGAGTATATGATGATATGATACTATACCAACAATTTGAGTGACGCGTTAGAACTTTTTACTAGAGAACTAAGTTTCTAGTTTTAGCTGGAAAGTTATCAATCCCACAAGGACTACGCCTCCCCCATTGAAAAAAACTTATTGCAAGAATTAAACACAAAAAGGATGAAAACTCAATGTAAACCCAAATTCAAAATTAAAACCAATCAAATCACATCATTTTCAAACCAATCAAATTACTCTAATAAGGTGTTCATTACCTAAAATAAACTTAGTTACACAACTCTGATCAGTCCTGCCAATTAGTGCCAACCTATTCCTAATACATTATTATAGGTTACTTCTCCTTATGTACAGTCAAAGTAGAACATAAATAATACTCCGTACAAGTTGCATAATCACACACAAAGTTTCATGGAGCTCAAGGATCGGCACACCTATTGATCTCTGCAAGTGCAGTGGCATTCGTTCTTGGAAATAACAAGTGCAGGAAAGGAACAGATGAGGTCATTCCGAGGGCCTTCATTTTCTCCTCAGCTCTTCGAAGCTCATATACAGATGGCACTCCATTCCACTGGAGATACCAAGAGAGATGTGTGGAAGCCTGGCTGTCATCACATGGCCATCTTCCAAACTTGATATAATCCAGGAGATTCTTTTGTATATTGGGTGATGAAGAACTGAGAATTTCCTCCACCCTCTTCTTGACTGTACCCAGGAAAGTCGTGTGCATAATGCCACCACTTGAACTGGTTAATATTTTAGCCAGCAAGGATTCACCATAGGCAAGTGCAAGCTTTTGAGAGGGGAGGAGGAGGTAGTTAATAAATAACAATAAGTTGCCAAATACAATATGTGAGAAGATGCACGCGCTAAAGAATACCTTAAGACTTAGGAGGGAAATTGAATCACCAGAATTACCGGCACCACCAGTGCCTTGTTCTGCCATTGACTCAATTGTGGAGTATATGGACAAGTATATCTGTGCAGTTCATATTCCAGTAATTATAGCAATTAAAAACAACACACTGATGTGTCATTAAAATGATAGGGGAAATGAAACACGGGGATGATTTTGGTATACTTCCTCCATTCTTAACTAAATGTAACAGAGGGGTTTACACTTTTTTACTCACATTGAATATTTCTTGTGATTGTGCTTTATACATTTTGAAAAAATAGGCTTTATCAACAGTAAATATATTTATGAAATGTTTCCCTATCAAGGAAACATTCAGTTACATAGGAAAGGGGCTGGAATGTTTCCAAGACATTTCTGAAGTTGAAATGTCTCATTATTTACAAAAACAGTCCACACCATTTTCTAGACGTTTCTTTCTGCAAAGTGAAAACTCTAACTGCTAAGAACTTATGTACATCAAAGGTTACCTGTAGAAGAGTTGGCCTGTCCTTGCTCACACATTCAAAGAGCACTTGCAAGCAAAACTCGTGGAATGCAATTCCATACCTAAAAGCATGATTAAAAGGATATTAGAACAGTCAAAGATTAGAATTGTTAAAGTGCATCCCACATCGGAAGTTCAAGAGTAAAATAATCGGTATATAAGCTCTTGAATTGAACTAACTAATCGATTGGATTCAATCTTTTAATGTGGTTCAGCCCAAGTGTCTTATTGCCCAATCCAATTATTTCTGCCCAATCCTAAATTCTATGATGGTATCGGAGCAGGTTTTGGCCCACATCGTTTGTTAAGGTGTCTGTCTAGACGTTCATTCCTAATGGCTCGTTAATCTTTAGCCCAGTTGTTCGTATGTACCCAACGGCCTGTGGCCCGTTTAACACGATAGCTCGTTTGGAAGTCCATACGCAACGGCTCAGGATCCTTTAGGTGATGGCACTAAAAAAAAAGTCAAAGGAATAGAAGTTCAATTGCAAGTGGTCAACCGCTTAATTCAAAATGGCCCGGTTGTCCACTTGAGGGGGAGTGTTGAAATGCACCCCACATCAGAAGTTCAAGAATAAAATAATCGGTATATAAGCTCTTGAATTGAACTAACTAATCGATTGGATTCAATCTTTTAATGTAGTTCAACCCAAGTATCTTATTGCCCAATCCAATGATCTCTACCCAATCCTAAATTAGTAAATTCTATCAAGAATTTCTGAATTCCATTTATTTGTCTTTCTTCATTCTTTAGAATCTTCATTGAAAAAGTAAATATATTTTGCATACCTGCTATTCCATGAAGGATTGCAACATAGTTGGGCAAAGGCAGTTAAGCTTGGATCAGAGGAGAATGTACTAACCAACTGATCTAATGTGATATCCGCTATAGACTTGGAACATCCAAAAGCTCTCAAGTGTGTCAGACCAAACACCTAAACCAACAAGAATCAATTTGATCAAAATAATTTACTCACTGTATATCAAAGATAAACAGAAAATGAAATGAAACACCAACTTTATGCATTGCTCTTGATAGCAGTGATTGGCATCCTATAGGATCATCTGCATATGAACAAGCTCCTACTTTTCTCTTCACATAAAGTACACCAGAATTGAAGGGGTGATTCTTGTCCCCCAAAGTCCACCATGGCTTTTCTGAACACAAGAGTCGCAGATGTTAATGTTGATGCATGTGCCTGAATATATATACATTGGAAAAAGAATCCAGGAAAATAGCTTTACATTTTGCATCTTGTTTAGATTTAGTAAAGATTATGCCTTGATGTTGATGTTGATGTTTGTGTCTGTGTGTCTACAGTCCACACACACACAAACAGAGGAGGCTAATGTTACACCCATTTTCCGACATTCATTGCATCATTCAGTTGGATTGTTTTCATGTTAAACCCGCCG